ATTTAAAAACAACTTTTGAGTAGGTCTATGTTAACTCAGTCAAATCTATCTTGATTAAGAAATGGTTGACTATGAGATGATTTTAAGGACAGTGCTTTGCAAATAGTGTTCTCACTTGAAAAGATGTGACTACCATTGCTCCACCATGTTATCCTGTGTTGGTGGGTATATAAGGGTTGTTATTGGGTTCATATGCATCACTTTCTAAATGCAGTGAAATAGGCAGGCTGTGGACAGAGCATATCTCAATGCAGGCACTAGCTATGTACTTACCCATTCTTCCCTAAACTCCATGATAAGTCCTTGAGGACAGAAGCAATATCCTTATCTTTCATTTTTCTTTGACACTTTTGCAGAGTTTAGGATAAACAGTAGGTGTTTAATAAAACCAACTTAAAGATTTGGGTTGACTTTCTGTGACTGATGGAGGGAACCAGAGCCCATATCCTTTAGATTGCTCACCTTGTCCAATTGTCTTTGTAGTGATAAAGTAGTAAAGTGACCAATAAATTGTGAGTGACTTGGGGGATCTATTAAAACTATCTCCTAAGAGAAGTGTTGATTCAGTAGTATCAACATCGTGTATTGGAACTAAATTTAAAATTGCACCACCCCACTCGCCCCGAAAGAATAATTAAAGCACACAAACCAAATATCTAAGTACAAAGATTGTGAAGTTCCATAGGATGTGTATGTTAAAGAATAGATTGACGTACGTTAATTCGTGGCTTTCTCTGAAATTTGTATCTATTTACATAATCCCAAATTGCATTCCTAGAAAATACTTTGTATTTTTAGCGGTAAAGAATTATGGCATTTTCCAGGATGCTTTTATTTAACAGGAGGAAATTCTTTTATAATGAGGATTCAAAAATGTAGAATACATCCATACTTTCCTGATCAGTGATGTATGAAATTAAGATTTGAAAAGAAAACCTTGCTTACAAAATGGTTTGATCATCCACTGTTCTGCAGTAGATGATCAGATCTGTTTGCATCAAATAAGTCTTAATCCTTTGTGGTAAAATAATTAGACAAGTCAGGAAATTACATCTATATAGGATTGAAGTAGAAAATGCTGTCAGGATGACTGGATAGGAATGTTAGGGAAGAAACTGTCCTGCACAGATGGCTGTAGGCGGTAGCTTTTTTATGCGATAACCCAGCAGATTGTTGATGAGTCAAGTTGATGAGAAACAATTTGTAGAAAGTGATTGCCCTGACTCCTAGTGGGGAGTCATGGGGTGGAGTCTATTCAAAACTCTTCTTATTTTCCACGTGGATGTAACTTCTTAGGGCTTCAGTTTACTTATCTGTATAAGAAAAGGTGTAGAGTCAATGATAAGGATCTCATCTGGATGTCAGTACTATGATTCTGTTGTTATTGGTTGTGGCGTTGGGTTTTAAAAATTTGTAATGATATGATTTTAAACATACAAGTTCAGATATTCCCTATTATTTCTATTCTATTTTTCTTTTCTTTTTTTGATTGGGGGCAGGGGTGGGTACCAGGGATTTAACTCAGGGGCACTCAACCACCAAGCCACATCCCCAGCCCTTTTATGTATTTTATTTAGAGACAGGGTCTCACTGAGTTGCTTAGTGCCTTGCTGCTGCTAAGGCTGGCTTTGAACTCACAATCCTTCTGCCTCAGCTTCCCAAACAGCTGGGATTACAGGCGTGTGCCGCACTGTACGTCTATTTTTCTATAATTGAAAAATTAGAGAAAATAACATTTTAAAAATATTTTTGTTTAGTTGTAAATGGAGAAATACCTTTATTTATTTATTTATATGTGGTGCTGAGGATCGAATCCAGGGCTCCTCATGTGTTAGGCAAGCGCTCTACTACTGATACACAACCTCAGCCTGAGAAAATAATTTTGAAAACAAATAACATTCATTTTAGAAAAAGTTTAGCTGTATTGTTTTAGCATTAAATATCATTCATAAACGCTCATTGTTTTTGTTGATGTCTTGTATATTTTCTAAATTCTTTAAATATGAATAAGTCTGCATATTAAATATATTATCTTGACCCAGAAAAATATATTTGAGGCTTAGCCACAAAATACAACATGTGGAAGTCTTTTCTGTAATATGCAGTATGTAGTATATTATTCTGTTATTTTTTGTGGTTTCTGCATTGTGAAAAATAGTGGTAAATACATTGTGGCTTCTTAGAGATTTGGTACAGCATATATCAAGAATTGGCTCAATAAAGAAATGAATGTGCTATATTACTTTACACATTTGAGGAAACACAATGAAATGTGTAGGCTTGCTTAACTTTAATTAAGATTTTTTTGGGGGGGGGGCGGGGAAGTGAAGCAGAAATAAAGAAAGGTATAGAGGAAACTAACCAATCTTCCTTAGAGAGTAGTTTGCTTTGATAATCATCACCATGCATAAATATACTTTAGCAAAGGGAAATCTGAAATCCTCTTAGCTTTTTAAATTTCCGGTGACTTCATTTTAGGTTAGTGGTTGTTGCCTTTAATTAAAAATGAAAACTATGCTTCAAATAAACTACCATGTATATAATAGGTGATTCCATTAAAGAAATATAAAGCTGAGATTAAAATAACTGTATGTAGGGTAAAGGAAGAATCTAAGAGCATCATGTAGGCTTAGGATGGATTGGCTGCATGGACATTTTAGAAGTTGTGCCACTGTGTGTGAGACTCCGAGACATGTGTCAACAGTCATGCTGGGTTATGGATGAGTGACACATTTTAAAGTTGAATTTTAGATGCTGAAGTTGGTCTTACTTACACCAAAACCCCAACTTGTTTGTTTAATCTCATTTTTTTTGCTTTTGCATTCAGAACTGAGTGGAGTCAGCTTCTTTGCTGAGATTTTATTTCAAAATATAAAACAAGCAGAAAGTCCCTTAATGGAGCTACCTTCTCAAAATTAGTGTGAGCAAACTACATTTTACACATTCAGGTTTAGTGAGACAAGTGATTGATCAAAGTGCTTTTCAAAAATGTATTTGGTTCACTACCAGCCTTATTTGAAAGAATGATCCATGTTTGGTAGTTTTTGAATAGAAAATGAAATTTCTGTTCAGCCAAACAATATTAGACTTTAAATTTTTTTTTTTTTTTAGTTATACATGGACACAATATCTTTGTTTAGTTATTTTTATGTGGTGCTGAGGATCAAACCTAGTGCCTCACATGTGAGAGGCAAGTGCTCTGCCACTGGGCCACAACCCCAGCCCCTAGACTTTTTAAAAAATCCTAATTTGTTATATATGACAGCTGAATGCATTCCAACTCACATTACACATATAGAGCACAATTTTTCATGTCTCTGGCTTTACACAAAGTAGAGTCACACCATTCGTGTCTTCATACATGTACTTAAGGTAATGATGTCCCATCTCATTCCACTGTCTTTCCTGCCCCCATGCCCTCTTCCTTTCCCTCCATCCCCTTTGCCCTATCTAAAGTTTCTCCATTCCTCCCATGATTCCGCCCCCCCCCCCCATCCCCATTGTGGATCAGAATCCTCATATCAGAGAAAACATTCAGCATTTGTTTTTTGGGGGATTGGCTAACTTCACTTAGCATAATATTCTCCAACTCCATCCATTTACCTGTAAGTGCTGTGATTTTATTCTCTTTTAATGTTGAGTAATATTCCATTGTGTATATACACCACAGTTTTTTTATCCATTCATCTACTGAAGGGCATCTAGGTTGGTTCCACAACTTTGCTATTTTGAATTGTGCTGCTATAAACATTAGCTGTGTCTCTGTTGTACACTGATTTTAAGTCCTTCGGGTATAACAAAGGAGTGAGACAGGTGGGTCAAATGGTGGTTTCCTTCCAATTTTTCCAAGGAATCTTCATACTGCACCAATTTGCAGTACTACCAGGAATATATGAATGTGCCTTTCCCCCCATATCTTCACCAAAACTTGTTGGTTGTTTGTATTCTTAATAGCTGCCATTCTGACTGGAGTAAGATAAAATCTTAGAGAAGTTTTGATTTGCATTTCTCTAATTGCTAAATATGTTGATTAGGCCCCAACTTCCTTAATAAGACTCCTATACCACAAGAAATAAAATCAAGAATCAATAAATGGGGTGGATTCAAACTAAAAAGCTTCTTCTCAGCAAAAGACACCATTGGTGAGGTGAATAGAGAGCCTACAGAATGGGAGCAAATTTTTACCACACTCATGGGAGCAAATTTTACATGCACATCAGAGCACTAATCTCTAGGATATATAAAGAACTCAAAAATATCATGATTTGATGAGAAGCTATTGAAAACTCAAAAAACCAAATAACTCAATCAATAAATGGGCCAAGGAACTGAACAGATACTTAGCAGAAGAGGACATACAGTCAATCAACAAATATACAATATTAGACTTTTGATAGAGATTTCTCCCTTCTCCTCCTCCTCCTCCTCCTCTTTAAATAATTTAAAGTTTGTATTAAAGCTCTCAATGTTATCATCTTTTCTACATGCACCATGTTAATTTGTCAATCTAATATCACAGTGACACTTTAAAGTCACTAATAAATGTCTAGGAGTAATTCCCAAAGCAGGGACACCTGAAAGCAGTAGTTTGTGCAATTATAATTAGGACAAATAATTGGGGGCCTAGGTCTAAGCTAAGTGTCACCCTCTCCCTTGTTAATAGCAGAGATTGCCTATGCATACCTCGTGTGGCCTGCTGATAGGAGGCTGGGATTGTTACTCAATCTCACATACAGTTTGATTTGTTATTACTGTGAGAGGGGTTGTCTTTCATTGTCTGTAGGTATCTGGCATGAAAATCTCATCACCAGTCCTCAGAAACATGTGGGCTTCACAGTCTATGGAAATAGCTTTGTGGTGATGGGTTTGTTGTTGGTGTTCTTAACCCGCAGTCCTATGTAAGTGTGGGTTAATGAAGAAAATAATATCCGTTTTTTACAGTACACTTGCCTATGCTAAGAAAGAATCCTATCGGTTTGTGTTTCTGTTTTTATTTGTAGATATAATACTTTGCCCAGCAGAAGAACTCTGAAGAATTCAAGATTAGTGAGTAAGAAAGATGACGTTCATGTCTGCATCATGTGTTTACGTGCCATCATGAATTACCAGGTATGCTTGTGCTTCTGGGCCCTGAAAGAAGTCAGAATTCATCAGACTTGGGTCTTGTTCTCTTTGGCTTCTCTGTGTTCTTTCTATCTGAAGTAAATATCATGATTTGATGAGAAGCTATTAAAAAAGAGAGGTCTGGTTCATTCTAATGCTCCAGATTTAACTTATTGCTGTGATATTTTAATTAGTATTTATAATTTGTATTTTTTTTCCTCTTTTTTTTTTTTTGGTACCAGGGATTGAACCTAGGGACATTTAACCATGGAGCCACATCCCCAGCCCCTTTTATATTTTAATTAGAGACAGGGTTTCATTAAGTTGCTTAGGGCCTCTAAGTTGCTGAGGCTGGCTTTGAACTCTCAATCCTTCCTGCCTCAGCCTTCTGAGTTCTGGGATTACAGGTGTGTGCCACTGAGCCTGGCCTATAATTTTTAGTTATTTAAAGGAAAGGTGATTTTCTTCTATAGTGGTCAAGTTGCCTAGATATCTTGGTAAATGCTTGTAATCACGGAGCACAGAGTAAACCACTGGCTGTAGACAATAATGGAAGAGCACCTGCCACTATGAGTGGGTCAGTGTTTCCTAAAGGCTGGAAAGTGAACAAGAAGTTACAAGGAGTTGGACTTAGTGGTTCCTAATCTTTATACGAAGCACCTGGTGGATCCTTGTTAAAAGTACAGATTCCCCTTCAGGTGGTAGTGAAACAGGTTGAGGCTGCTTAGAAGCAGTGCAGCCTGTGGTTTGAGTTAATCCTAACAGTACAGAGGAAGGTAGAGCCTGGAAGACCCGAGGTGAACTGACAGGGTTACATGTGTAGGTAAGCAAACCAAGGGTATGCATTAGAAACAGTAGGGTTCAAATATAAAAAGAAATTTTATTTGTATTGATATGGATGCCACAGGTAAGTTCAATTGGAAATAGAAAAAAAATACACAACTAGAGGATCCATGTTAGTGTTCAAACCCAACATAAGGTTGCTGAATTGAATTTAAGAAGGGAAACATTCATTTGTTCCTTCTCTAAATCAGTAGATATCTTTTACACACACACACACACACACACAAACATTCTCATTAATTATACAGGACAGTAAAATGCATTTTGATACATCATACATAAATGGAGTATAACTTCTCATTTGTCTGGTTGTACATAATGTAGAGTTACACAGGTTATGTAATCATATATGCACATAGGGCAATAATGTCCAATTCATTCTACAATTATTCCTATCCCCATGTCCCTTCCTTTCCCTTCACTCCCCTCTGTCTCATCCAAATTACCAATGCTCCCCTCCCCCTTTATTGTGAATTAGCATCCACATATTGAGAAAACATTCCGTCATTGGTTCTTTGGAATTGGCTTATTTCATTTAGCATAATATTCTCTAGTTCCATCCATTTACTGGCAAATGTCATAATATTATTCTTCTTTAAGGTTGAGTAATATTCCATTGTGTATATATACCACATTTTCTTTGTCATTCATCTATTGAAGGCCATCTAGATTGGTTCCATAGTTTAGCTATTATGAATTGTGCTGCTATAAACATTAATGTAGCTGTATCACTGTAGTATGCTGACTTTAAGTTCTTGGGGTATAAACTTAGGAGTGGGATGCCTGCATCAAATGGTGGTTCCATTTCAAGTTTGATAGCTTTTGTATTTTGTCAGACAGAGCCTCTGTTCTAGTCACTGAGAATACAGCATTAAGTGAATTAGTGGCCCAGGGAACTAACTTTTAAGAGAGAGTGAGCAGATAACAAAATAAATTGATAAATTATATGGTGTTTCATATAATAATGATGATAAAGTGAAATGAAGGCTGAATCATGGTTTTACAAAGGTAAGCTTTTAAACTTATGAACCCAAGTAAATCTCAAAGCACCCTTATCATTGATACTATCATTGATAGTGTTATTCTCCCCATTTTACTTACAAGGAAACTGAAACACAGAAGTTAAGTAATTTTCCCAAAATCATATAGCAAATAAGTGGCAAGGTCAGGCTTTGAACTCAGAGAACCATTACTAAACATTGCAAAAAACAATCAGGAAATAGGAAGTGCTTAAGATGTATATGCATGTTTAAATAAGCTAGCTAGGAAAGTGTCACTGAGGACATAACATTTAATCAGAACTTGAATTAGGCAACAAAGGGAAGGTTAGAATAAATCTGGTTTTCCCAAGGTGCAGAATGGAGATCAGGTTGGCTGGATCAGAATGAGGAACGAGAAGAGTAGAAGGTAAAGACAGAAGTATCAGAGAACTGCTTATGTAGGACTTCATAGGTCAGGGAAAGGACACTGGTCTTGTTGAAAGGGAAAAGCTAGTAAATATGATGCTTGCATTTAATATGATGAGTTTGGCTGCTGTGCTTAGAATTGACCTTGGAGGGCAAAGGCAAGGGGGTGTAAACCATTTAGGAGGCTATTGGCAGTAATTTTGGTGAGCATTGATGGTGTATGACTCAGGATTATAGGAGCAGAGTTGAGAGAGATGGTCAGATTCTGGTTTTATTTTGATGGTAAAGGCAGTGGCATTAAGTATGTGGTGAGAGAGTAGGCGAGGAGAGGAGGTGGTACTAAGGCTTTCATCCTGGGTACCTATAAGATTGGGTTGTCATTCACTAAGAAGGAGAAGGCTACAGGATGACAAAATTGGAGGAAGATCATTTGGAGTTCCATTTGGTAGATTTTAACTTTGAGATATGCATTAGTCCTCCAAATAGTGATTTAAGTGTAGTTGAGTATGTTAGTTTAGATTCCAAGACAGAGGTCTGGGCTGGAGATATAATTTTTTTTTTTAAATATTCCTAGTTGTCAATGGATTTTTAAATTTTATTTATTTATATGTGGTGCTAAGAATCATATCCAGTGCCTCACACGTGCTAGGCAAGTGCTCCTCCACTGAGCTACAAATTTGAGACTAGTTAGCACATAGAGCATTTAGGAAACTAGGAGTATGAATGAAATCTGTGGGGCCAATAGAGAAGTAAAGAGGTCCAAAGTATGAACCGTGGGACACTCCATTTAAATGTTTAAGAGATGAGGAAAAACTAGTTCACCGGAGAAGTAGCCAGGAAGGTAGAGCTATCTGAAGGCCATGTTTCAAGGAGAAAGGAATGCTCCACTTTGTCTAATGCTCCCAAGCTGAGTGTGGTGGCTCATGTCTATAATACAGTGACTTGGGAGGGTGAGGCAGGAGAATCCCAAGTTCCAGGCCAGCCTGGCAACTTGGTGAAACGCTGTTTACCAATTAAAAAACAAAAGAGACTGGGACTGGGGATATAGCTCAGTGGTAGAATGCTTGCCTAGCATGTGCCAGGTTCTGGCTTTGGTATCCCTATTACTGAAAGAAGAAAAATGTTGCTGCTGAATCATGTAAGATGAGTGAGGCCATTGACTAACAAAATGTCGGTCATTGGTGATATTGGCAAGAATAGATTCAGAGGTATGTTGGTCAGCTTTTCATCACTGTGACCAAAAGACCAGACAAGAACAACTTAGAGGGTAGAAAAGTTTATTTTGGGCTCATGGTTTAATAGATTCAGTTCATGATTGGCCAACTCCACTACTCTGGGCTTGAGGTGAGAAAGAACATCTGGTGGAAGGGTGTGACACAGGAAGGCTGCTCAGCTCATGGCAGCCAGGAAGCCAAGAGAGCACAAGGAGCCAGGAACAAGTACATCATCCCCAAGGACACCCCCCTCCCTCCAGTGACCTGCTTCTTCGAGCCAAGTCCCATGTCTACACTTACACAGTAATCCATTCAAACTACTAATCCGACAAATAGATGAATCCATGATTGTGTTGCAACTGCCATAATCTCATTGTTTTGTTTAACATTCCTGTATAGTCTACTGTGAGCTCTTCTGGGAACCACCTCACATCCAAACTGTATCAAGTGGGCTGTGGAGTAAAATGCCTGGTGGGAGTGGATTCAACAGCAAATGAAAGGAATCAGAGATCCTGAGTATTTGGGGGGAATTTTGTTGTAAGGATAACAGAAACGAGAGGAGGCAGCTAGACTCATTGTGGTATCAAAGAGGGTTTTGTTGCAGTCGTTTTAAGATAAGAGCATTTTTCATGATGTTTTTATGTTCATGATAATGAATTAGTAGACAGGGAAAGGTGATGGTGAGTGGAGGAATTTCTGTAGCATATATTTTTGAGGAGGTGAGAGGGAATGAAATCAAGGACTTAAGTGCAGGGATTAGCCTCAAATGGAAGCATGGAAGAGTTCATTTGTGGAAAGAGGTGAGGAGGTTAACCATAGATCTTTGTGTGGGGGTGATATGGTTGGAGCTTTTGGAAGGATTTTCTGATTGCATACATTTTTCTCAGTGTAAGAGGAAATAGTTCAAAAGCTGACAGTAAATTTAGGAGAGAGAAGGTAATTCCTCAATTTAGTAGAATCAAATTTCTTAAGCTTGTTCTTTGTTTTGTTTTTTTTTTAATTCATATTTTTTCATTTATTCATTTTAGAGATATTCTGTAATCTTAGGTTCATTTGGAAATTTTATAAATTTAAAATATTTCATGACAACTTTGACATTTTAACTATATTCCTGCACAATTAGTATTTTAATGACCATATGTATTTATAATGTAGAGTACAAATACAATTACATTTTCTTCATTTATTTCATGTTTTCCAGAAAATAATGTTCTTTTGAGAAACAGAACCAATAGGATATGTTTGTATATACGTGTATATATGTACACACACACACACACACACACACACACAGAGAATGATTTACTTTAAGGAATGATGGAAACTGTCAAGTTCAAAATCTGCAGGCCAGAAAAGTGTTATAGTTCAAGTTCAAAAACGCAGTCTATCCACAGATTTCTCTCAGGGGAGGTCAGCGATTTTCTTAAGGTCTTAAAATAAGTGGATGAGGCCCACTTACATAATGAAGGCCCATCTACTTTCTTGGGGTGTACTGATTTAAATATTAATCCCATCCAAAAACAAAATACCTTCAAAGAAATATCTAGAATCATGTTTGATCAAGTATCTGGGTACCACAGCCTACTCAGGTTGACATGTAAAATTGATCATTATAGCAAGCTACTTAATATGAGCTTTCACTTATTGTTATACTTTACTAAAAATGAAATTGAGATACAAATGCAGATTTTTAAGTAAAATTTCCTTAAAATAGGAAGCTATTTTAGGACTTAAGCTTGTTCTTTGTGTAGAAGGGTGATATAACATACCTCAGAGAAAGACAGGTTTTCTAGGCCCTTGGTTCTGGTAGCCATTGCCCAGAGAAGGGACTTGATGGAGCGATTCCTAACTGCTGAGTGAAGTCACCCTGGAAGCTTAAAAATTTTTAGATTCCAGGGCTCTGTTATTGAGATTCAGACCAAATTAACCTGGGTGGATCTTGGGGAATCAATTAGTGCTTTGTTTTGCCTTTCAAAGGATTGAATGAGGAGGCTGAGTTGAGAATCCCTTGGATAGGGCTTTTTTACTAATATTTTTGGGGTGAGGGGACACTGGGGATTGAACTCAGGAGACTTGGTCACTGAGCCACATCCCCAGCCCTTTTTTGTATTTTATTTAGAGACAGGGTCTCACTGAGTTGCTTAGTCCTTGCTTTTGTTAAGGCTGGCTTTGAACTTGCGATCCTCCCATCTCAGCCTCCCTAGCCACTGGGATTACAGGCCATGTGCCACTGTGCCTGGCCTTTTCACTATTTTAATAAAAAAAAAAATGTGTAACTTATGTATATATGGGAAGATAAGCCTTTGATGATGGCATCCCTGATATTTTCAATACAGAAATATGTTTTGACAATAATGTGCATTTATGATGACCTCATTTATGATAGTGTATCATTGTTACATGAGATAGAACCTTCAGATTTTTTGTTTTTAATTAATATTGACTGTCTCCTAACCTATTTCCTAATGCTTTTTTGTTTTTTTTCTCCCACATTTCAGTATGGTTTCAACATGGTCATGTCTCATCCACATGCTGTTAATGAGATTGCACTAAGCTTAAACAACAAGAATCCCAGGTGAGCTTCCTTTGTACTGTAAGTCTAAATCTAACTAGAGCTAGTCAACACTTAACAAAAGTTAAAATTTTGAAACTCTCAGGTGTGGTTTGCTGAAATAAGACTGACTGTAAAGTACTTGGCTGTGTGGATTTTTTTCCTTTCAGCCAAGTTACATCTTTACATGGGGCAGAGTTGAGCACCTGGTGACAACTTTAGCCATTCACTTTGCTCCTTAAGCTTTTATTCCTTTCTAGGTCTGGTATTAAGCATCTTTGCTGCTAAGTTGGTGGAGAGAATTAAGTTGTAAGTGTGTCCAGACATGGGGACTAGGAAAGTCTTAAAATACTAATAGCTAATTAAAACCACCGTTTCTTATCCACATTTTGCTTCCTAACTTTACATATGTACCTTTAGTTAACAAATAGAAAAACAAATGAACAAATATGCAGATTTCTTTAATATTTGTTTTCTTTAAAGACCAGACACATAGATTAATTGCCTTACAGATTACCAAAGAAGTCTCTCATCAACAGTTTCTCTTTTGGTTATCTTGAGCTTTTCCAACCTGGTGAGGTATTCTGTTTCAAATGTATAGTTGCCTTCCCTGAGATACAATATATAAACTGAGTATCTAGAAACTGTTAATTCACCTTAAAAATATGATTGTAAATTAGGCCTTTCTAGGAATGTAATGCAGTGTGTAAAGAATACTTAAATATTGAGTAGTATTTCTTAAAACTTCCCCTGAATAAATCTACAACTTAGTGATTTCTTACTTTCTTTATTAAAATCCTAGCTAGTCATGTCTCTGCCTTCCACTATAGAAAAGTTATTATTCATTTTTCTTAAGACAGTTGATATTGTAGAATATCGGAACAGTCTTTGTTAAGAGGTTGGCAATAGTTTTTATTCCAGAACAAAGATGAAATACTAAAGTGATCTTACGGTGAAGAAACAATGCCATTTCTTTTTCGACACTGTATTTACAAACTTAGAATGATCTCTAGATTCTCCTTTCAAAAATATTTCAGATGGAGTTTTATTTTCTTGAGTCAGAGAAGATATTTTTGCACTAGTACAGCTGTAATGCAACTCCTCCCAGATCTCCTGCATATGAAGAAGTGATAGAAACTTGTGTGGTCATATGGGATTTTAATGGATCTATCTGCATGTGAGCAGATTTGAAGTGTAAAACATAAATTTGAGTTGATTTTTGAGCTTTCTCATGTTATGCCTCTGACTCTAAAACCAGGAAGAATATTCAGTTGGTAGTTTTGTGTGTGTGTATTCTCATGTTTCCTATTGTTTTTAGCTCATCAGTAAAATTTTTTCAGCTCTGTTGCTCTGAGTCACCCAATAATTTGACTGAAAGAATTAGTTTTTATTAGTGAAATTCATAAATTTTGGGTGTAGGAAGCTTGCCTTCCACATTTGCTGTTTTAGACAAAGCACATATCGAAAAGTCGGTAAAGTTTTCAAAAAGTGATTTAATATAACTATGGAACAGAATAAAGGTTTAAAAAGCACAAGGGAAAATGATGATTATTCTCATATTCATCTTGGAGGCAGGAGTAGCTGACTCACCATGTCATTTTCACCGATCTGTGTTTTTCTTTTTTCTTCTTGTTTTGACAGAACAAAAGCCCTTGTCTTAGAACTGTTGGCAGCCGTTTGTCTTGTCAGAGGAGGGCACGAAATCATTTTATCAGCTTTTGATAACTTCAAGGAGGTAGGATGCACTACAGTTTAATAAGCCTGCTCACTCAAAGAGCTCATATTGGGATATCCTCAAGCAGAATGACTTTACTTCTTCATTCGTTCTAGGATCCTAAGAGTGTAATCGCTGATTTTCTAATATATCACCGAGAGGAAAGGCATGAAGCTAGCCTATATATCTTAAATTTGGGTGTTTTGTTTCTACCATAACTTAATGATATTTGCAGTACAATATTTTCATTTGAGGAATATGAAATGGCCAGTTTGAAAACAGATTTTGTTACATGCATATGGTTTTCCTTAGGGTTGAAAATATGTAGATAATATCCTATGAATTTTATGAATTTTTTCATCAGAGTTGCTTCTCCCAAATAGTATTTTATTATAATTGCTTTGTTGGATGCTATGAAAAACCTGTCAAATAAATATAGACACTTAGTTCAGGAGTTTGTGATTTTACTAATTAAGTGGTCCTGTCACAAAATTATAAAGTAGTGGACATGCATGGTTGAATGTGAAGACTGAGTTCAAAAAAAGAAACCATTACACATTGATAATATGGCACCAAGAATTCTGTCCCAAAGTATCAAGACATCTCAGCTGCGATAATACCAGTCTCCCTTAGGGGTAGTGAACAGTTACATGACCTAGAAGAATATGTAGGCGTATTCCTTAGTATATGCCTACATTCAATGCAACTTTGAGGAAAAAGATGTCAAGAATGACTTTACTTCTGGAGAATATTGACGGCACTTGGAGCCCCAGGTTCCAAGGTTCCCAGGTTCTTGAGGACTCTCAGATTCGTGACTTACCCTGGCAGTCCCATTTAATTCCAGATGTTGCTGGATTAAGACTTAAGATGTGTTATAGTCCAGATCTCACAGCGACTTCCACACTTTCTGTTGTCTTTGCTGCAAGCCTCTGGAGGAGGAGAGCATGAATAGTGTTTGTTGAGCACCGACTCTATTCCAGGGCTGCACCAGCTCCACACAGGAAATTATCTGGTTCTATATTAGCATCTTTGGAAGAACTGTTAATATTTCCTTTATATAAAAGAATAAACTAAAATTCAAATCGAGGGTTTCCTATGGTCACAAAAAGCCAGGCTTAGGGTTTGGTGTTCCTGATCCTAGAGACTTCCATGAAACCATGCTGAAGTGTGGGCCCAGTTGTGTGTGAACTTCTCAGAGAAATAAGGGAAATACTGAGTTAGCACCAGAGAGCCAACCTCCCTACCTTCACCTCCCTAATTGGACTCACCACCCCAGCTGCCATATGTACTGGAGAGTGGTTCTATGATGCTCCACATGGGGTGGGGAGCCTCCAACATGTGGGCTGGACAAACACTCCTCTTGTCTCTTATTTATGTCACCTTTCTTCTTCCAGTTGGTGCTTAGATTTTGACTTTATCCACTTTGTTACTGCTGACTATGGACAGAATCAAAGAGTTGATTTGTTTTCTTTCAATTTATTTGGCCCTAGTGATTGTGAAAAAATATTTAGGTTCTAAGACAATGATGAAGAATAAGAGTGAATCTTTAAATTCATATTCTGCTTTCAAAACAAGTGATTTTTATAAACAAGAAAAGCCTTTCTCTGAGTGTTTTAATAATACATCATATGTAAATATATAAATTTTACATTTATAAATAAGGAGGTATGTTTGTATGTTTGGGTGGATGGTTTTTCAAGGAAAAATAAATAGCATATACTGCTAGTATAACTTATAAAAATTTATGATTAGATCATATTTGGAAATATCACATTCTACACTGAAAGCATTTACAATGCAGATATCAGTGACCCTTGTTATAACTAGTGTTTTGACTGTCATCTGATTATACTGCTGGTCAAATTATATCCTAAAGATTTAATTGTATAGAATCAGAATTAAAGCTAGTAACTCATGAGATTAACGTTGGTTTTTGCTTTCTTTTTGCTGAAATAGAATCTCTTTGTTTTGCATAGCAGGCATACAAACTTTTGCACAATTGAGTTTTAACTGTCTGGTGTCAGAATTGCCCATGGTCTAGCCATTTAGGGCATCATATGTACTTAGTTGAAGAAAAACATAGTCCCGCTAAATCAATAGCTATCTAGTTGTCATCCAAATTAGCTTTAAGTTTGAGCTTTTAGAGTTTTAATCAAAACCTGCTTCATTTCTGTAATTACTTAAGAGGGAAGGTGCTATTTACATTCTTTTTGTCCATGGCATAGGCATTTGCCATGTGGAAGAAAGGTCAAGGCCAGAGCTATGTGCTCTGGTCCTGCATTTATCTCTAGCTGTAGCCTTTTGTAGACAGCCCAAACCCAAGGATTATCCTGATTGCCATGTGAACAGGGACAAGGCAGGAACATGCCCCTGGGAAACTTTGTTCTTAGGTTGATGCTCCTTTGACCTATTCCTATTTATCCTATCTTGGAGTGGAAAAAGCGTTACTTTGCTATCATCTTGTTTTTAAAAAATGTAATGGCATTCACAGCTCAGTCTTTTACCTCCCTCTCTTTTTTTCCTTCCCTCTTTATGAGTTGATTTTTTTAAAAAAATATATAAATCACAGTGAAGGGTGTGTTCTTTAATGCTTTCAGCAAAAATGTCACTGGAGTCTTTGGGCTCCAAGGAGCCTCGCAGCCTATCCTTGTATATATTCTTGAATACAAGGATATGCTATTGTGCAGATAGGGTTTTGGTCAGTGAGTAAGACTGACAGATAGGGTTTTTGTCAGTGAGAAGCCACTTGTGGCAGGGAGTACCAGATCAGGGAGAGGATACTGGACATAGGACCAAAGGACCATTGGCCTTTATGAAGATTGTTTTTAAAGCTTTTAACTCTTTCTAGGAGAAGGAAGAAGAGGTTATCCTTGTTTCTGCAGGGAGTAGATCAGGGGATTTCAGCATCTGCTTTTTGTAGTTAGACCCTCTGGGTTTTGACTACTGTTAGAACTCAGTCGAGCACACCACCTTCATGTAGAACTAGATATAGAGAAAAGTTTAGAGACCACTCATTTTAAGTACTTAGCAGGAATTTTATTCCCTCCCCCTCCAGAGCCAACAAATCCATCAGGTATATTTTGGCTCTTAATACATTTTTATATATGATTACATTGTTTTCTCATGTTTTGGTTAATATTGAAGATCCCAGCAAATTTGTTTTCTATTTTGTTTTCCCCCAAAGAATCTTGTTATGAGTCGTGCAATATGTGAAGTACATGTTTCAGGAAAAGTGATGGCCCCCTTATTTAATGGTATCTGATAGTGGAAAGAATGTTAGCCCAAGGCCTTGCTTATGGTAAGCTGGGGAGCAAGCACATATGCTGCTTCCAAGTATGTGATGATAAATGAGTTTTAGTTGCATAAATTCAGTCAGTAAACTTATAGTTTGTGTGAGTTGTGGCATGCATCAGAACATCAGTATATTGAGTTGATGAAGTCTAGATCATTAACAGTCAATGTTGTGTTCCTTGAATTCTTTTCTTGTAAGAAAATTTAAATAAGGGGAATTAACACATCTGGTTTTGGTGTCGAAACATCTTCTTATGAAAATTTATGGTCCTGAAAGGAGGACCAGGGTGAGAACAAGAAACCATCTGTTTTTCTGTATTGGATAATTTAGCCATGTGGAAGGACGTACAACCATCTTCCCTAAGTTGTTTCTTTCTCTTCTTTCTTTTTTGCATGGTGTGTGTGTGTGTCTGTGTCTGTCTGTCTGTCTGTCCGTCTGTCTAAAATGCAGAAGAGTGAGTGAAAGAGAGGGAGAGAGAGGGAATGGAGTCTACTCACTCTACTTCACTCAGGTATCTAGTTTTGAGTCTGATGCCTCCCATATTCAGCGAGGGGTTGCTTTTGGAAATACGTGTGGTTATTTTGGTATTTGAATTGGTTCAGGGTCCTGTTTGCCAGGAGCAGAAACATACTCTAACAGATAGGAAAAGGTAGAGTAGAAGGATGTTGAGGAATGCACAGATTGACTAGGAGCCTAGAGAACAAGGATGGGAGAGTGGATGGGCGTTCCTAAACTGTGTTGAGACTGAGCCCCCATAAACATTGTTGACGGTTCTGATCATGCCTTTTCTTCTCTCCCCAGCAACAGGGACCACAGGTAGCAATCCAATGAGTCATTAAACTGCACCTTTTGGTGAAAGAAGTCAACCAGCACCCACTTCAGATTTATAAACACTATATTTAATCCAGTTTCTCATAGGAATGTTGAAGTCTTCGATCTAGATCATCTTCTCCTCAAATTTTTCGTATCTTGTTTCTTGATTATTTTTTTCCCTTACATTCTTTGATATATTTGAGAAATTGCCTTACTTTAAAAAGTATCCCCAAAAGTCTGGGCAAAAATGTTTATATTTGAAATCAAAGAGGAAAAGTACTGAGGCCCCATAAACTGCAGTGGAATAGCCTTCTGTGACATGAATGACAAAACTCTCTGAGGATTTGGAGCCACTAGCTCTCCCAGGCTGCTGGGAGGTACACCTGGAATTCATCAGGATTTCAGACTAATGATAACTGTGTTCTCATCTGCTTCCAGAATGCAGCATCTGGCTTGAGCAAAATAGCTTGAGTTTGTATTTTAAAGGCCCCACTGCCTCCCACTTCTGACCTTCTAGTATAGATACTTGGAGTCTTGTGAAATGAGTCTCTCAAGGCCACCACCTCTCTTGTACACAACCCTCTTGGCAGTAACTGCTCTTTTTTTTTTCACTTGGTGCTAGAAGGCTTCCTAAGAAACCCAATGTGGTTTAGCTCCTGGGTATCTGAAAACACTCATGCTACACATTATTTAGTTGACTTAAGAAGGTCTGTCAAGTTTTATTTACAGTGCTCCAAACTGGACAGAAAGAAGAGCAGACATTCTGGTATTCTTCCAGCACCCTTTTGAATTTAATCCCATCTAATCTAACCTCTTGGACATATGAGGACATAGGACTATGAATCCCAAAGTCATTGAAAAAAATCTAAAAGTGGTGAAATCTTAGATGTGGAAGGAAGAGTACTTACTGTTTGGT